TTGTAATAAAACAATGAAAATTAAGGGTCTGTCTTGTTGGTCATATGGTCAGTGGTCAAGCTTTTCCCTTCATAAAATTGGACCCCATATTTCAGGAGCCATATCCAATAATGATAAGCTTTTTTATTTTTTATTTTTTTTTTCACACGCTCCAATAAACCTCTCTGTTGTCTTAAAAATCTTTTTCACACGCTCCAATAAACCTCTCGTAACAGATGGGTCTTAAAAATCGTAAGACTAACGGTTATACATAATAAGCAAAAACTGACAATAATATTACCATAAAGTTCAATATTTCAAAGTCGAGCGATTCGAACGGTTCACATTTACGAAAAAATGATAGGAAGTATAGTATTATAGGTTAGCTATCCTTTTCAGAGGGTATAAATCACTATTTTGTAGTGGCCTCTTTGTGTTTGTGCATATGTGAAATGAACCTACCCGACATTGATGATAACCAAAGTGAAGCATTTGGAAATGTTAATGTATCGGATCTCCTTACTTTACAACATGTTTTCTTGGTGGGAGAAGTATCAACATCTTCATTAAAAAGTTTTAGCTTCATCCATTGTTATAACAAAGTGTTAATACCATCTAAACTACAAAAAACCTAAACTTATCATCTATTAACAACAAAAAATGAAGCTAATCATCGATCTATATCGGAGAGCGTGACGTGGAAAAAAGCTTGTCGTTCTTTACTAGTCGAGCTGAATTTTTGTCACCTTTGTTTTATGGAAGGAAATACTGCTTTAGAATTGTTACCGGTGTTTAAAAATTGGGAGGCTAATGACGCTATATAACGAGCTAAAGAGAACAATATTTACTAGCGTAGACTTGGACTATTACAAGCGGTAGTAGAGGTAGGCACCGAGTGGACTGTGAAGTTTCACATCTGTTGGAGAGGGAAACGAAACATTCTTTATAAAGGTGTGGAAACCTTTCCCTATAAGACACGTTTTGAAATCGTGAGGCTGACGACAATATGTAACGGGTCAAAGCGGACAATGTCTACTAGCGGTGGACTTATGACTATGAGTAAGAGTTTGAAAGAGGAGTAATTTGGGAGAAGGGGTAGGTGAGTTATGGCTATGAGTGGCCACCACCACCACCAGAAATGGCTACCCTTTACAGTAAAGTAATTGAATGAAATGGTCAAAATGTATTTAAGGTAGATTCGAAGGCTACTCAAGGCTAAGGCTAAGGCTAAGGCTAAGGCTACGCTGCTGCTTCAGCCGTATCTGATTTGGTCAAACACAGTATTGATTTCTGAACTGTCAACAAAAATCCACGACGTTCAAGTTAATCATTCATTTCTGTTTTTAACAAACACATGTTGGCCGCCGCTGATCATGCTCCTAATTTGTCTTTGTCACCTGTTAATTCAGTTCTCACAACGAAATATGAAGATATATGATAACAAGGAAGATTTGCAGGCTAAGTTTTTAGAACTGGGGCAAAGCTGAAACTAAAACTTACCTGCAATTAATGCCAACGTATACCCAAGGAAGCTGAAAATGGCGCCACCCCACAAGCAAACAAAGGCATAAGAGCTTATGCTCAAAGTAGACGAGGCGTTACTCTTAACATTCTTCTCGTTTGTTGTCTATAACAATGATAAAACCCTATCTAGAATAAGCTGGCGTTGGGAGATGATGCTTGTTCTCCCGATAACTAATGTTGTTGTAGGGAGAAAGTGTTTGATCTTCGTTAATACAAAATCTTTAAGATGAAGTATTCCAACACCGTCGAAGCTCGTTGTCTATTGTATAATTTACATAAAATGAAAAATCAAATAAAATAATATAGTATGGAGACTTCATAATATTCTAATTTTTTTAATTACAAAATGGTGTGTGATTGATTATATTAATCTTGGTGTAAAATGTGAGTAAATATACATAAGAAATAATAAAAAAAAGAAAAAAAAAAAAAAACATTCTTGAAATATGGGCCAGCTTGAATCTAGGACAAATTGGGCCTGGTCGGAAGACTTTGTATCGAGCCCAATATACTTTAAATTGGGCTTATTTGGGCCCAATCCAACTACGAACATGTTGTCTCAACCGTCCAATGAATAAGAATAATCTCAGCCTTTGCTTTCTTGGGTTTATAAACAACTCTTCTGCATGAAACCCTAGTCTCCATCGGCTTAAGATTACATTTTCATCCACTGGTAGCCGATCGCAGCCTTCCAGCGCCGTCGAGTATGCTTCTCTAACTACAATATTTCCCCATTTTTCTTTGTTATTAGTCTTCATTGCTTTGTTTTCGTATCATTCTAGGCAAATTTTAAGTTCTGTGCACTTTCTTTTCTCTGCCAATCGTCTCAGGTTAGTAATTGTTTAGTATAGTTGCCCTGTTGCACGTCGTAGAAGGTTGATTACCGATTAGCGTTGTCTTTGTGAATTGTTCTTGTTTCTCTGATTGATTCCTTAAACTTCTAGACAGTTGGATTGTAGACTTTTTGTAATGTAACGCCTTCGAAGAAAATCTGTGTTGTTCTTCTGTATTTTAACTCTTTAATCGTATGAGTTCTCTGAGACGAGGTTTTTTCCTCCGTCTTTTCAGCTAGATTTCTCAAGATGTTTACGGCACTGAAAAAGATCCACAAGGACAAGGATGTTGAACCCTCCGAGTTCGAAGAGACTGTTGCGCAGGTTGTTTTAGTAGACAACATTAATCTCGATGTTTTTTCACTGGTCAACTTTATTGTACCTACCTCTCCATTGGCACTTCTCACGATTGCATGTCTCTGCAGGCACTCTTTGATTTGGAAAACACCAATTCGGAGCTGAAAAGTGACCTGAAGGATCTGTACATTAATTCAGCTCTGTGAGGGTCATTAGTCGATTTATGTAATATGTTTACCATGTTAATTGGTTTTGATGTTTCTCATTATGCGATTATTTTGTGTCTCGTGGTTGCAGTCAAGTTGATGTTTCTGGAAACAGGAAGGCCGTTGTTATCTATGTTCCTTTTAGACTGAGGAAGGCATTTCGCAAGATTCAGTTGAGGCTTGTTCGTGAGTTAGAAAAGAAGTTCAGTGGAAAGGTAATTGAAGGTCCATTATTTTTTGTCCTTATCATCATCACATCTTGCTTTACACCATGACTGAACAGAAATATGAATTTGTTAACAGTCAGTTTAGACATTGACGATTAGAAAGATTCTATATCTTTTTCTACTATGTTCTCTGGTTTATGGATGAATGGAAGAAGCCTAAGGTCTTAAGTTTTCATGCAATAATTTCCCATGTGGTCCTATGTTAGGATGTGATTCTGATTGCTAACCGAAGAATCTTGAGACCTCCAAAGAAGGGCTCAGCAGCCCAAAGGCCTCGCACTCGTACTCTTACCTCTGTGCATGAAGCAATGCTGGAAGATATTGTTTTGCCTGCCGAGATTGTCGGGAAACGAACCAGATACAGGGTTGATGGATCAAAAATCATGAAGGTAAATACATAGCTTTGAATATCGTGTTTTTTTTCATTTTCATCTATGCAGTTAGTATGAAATTGGATAGGTGTATTTCATCAATATTTGGAAAATCATATATATTTTTCACCATAGGTTTTTAGAATAAAGTTTGTTACTGATTCTGGGCAATTCAGCAACAATAATGTATTATACAGAGTGCATGTTCATATATTAATCCTATCTTTTTCTACTGCACTTGGTTTGTGAACTAAAACTGATCTCAAACTGAATTAAGAACCAATGTACGTTTAATTAAATACACTATGCTGCATGAAAATTTAGAGTTGGGCCATCTTTTATTATAATTACTGAAGTTTCAAATGTTATCACCATACATAAGATTGCAAGAAGTGTACTTTAGAGCCTGGTTCATGGTCTTATTAGTACAAATTTTGTTTTCGATCGAATTCCAACGGAGAAGTTGAATCCTTCTTTGGAAATGTATTGTTCTTTTATGATGCTCCCGGTACAGATTTTTAGTCTTGGTTCTTGTGAATGCAGGTTTTCTTGGACCCTAAGGAGCGGAACAACACGGAGTACAAGTTGGAGAGTTTCTCTGCAGTTTACAGGAAGCTGTCTGGCAAAGATGTTGCCTTCGAGTTCCCAATAGTCGAGGCATAAGATCCTTATCGATGTGACACCATTTAGATGCATTTAGTTTTGAATCCATTCAAATTTTTGATGTTGAGTACTAGAATCTGTTTTTATTTATATGGTTTTTAATTTGCGGAAGCGAATTGTTTTATGAATGTATGTCGGTTTTAGTCTGGTAGGGTATGAATGTCTCTATATTTATGAAGTCGTGTTATGTTAAGTGCTAAATTAGTTGAGCCAGTTTTCAACTAACCGTGCAGGTAAAGAGCCATTTTCTAAACCAACTAGAAAATACAGTCGCTAGCTAACCCTATATGATTTAGATCTCTCCAGCGAGTGCGGAGGGAAAAAAAAAAAGCTTGAAAAGAAATTATGATTTTCTTACTGTCAAATTAACTTGTAAATTAACTTTGCTTTATAGATTGAAAGTAGTTTTTTATTCCTTGAATAATTTAGAATAATTTAAAATTATTTATATGACATTATATATAGATAATTGTAGAAAATTTAGAAAGAAAAACAATAATTTTAAAAAAAGAATATAAAAATTTCTACAATTTTCTAAAAATTTTTACTATTAAGATTTTTCTCATCTGACTCTGTTTAATGGCTATCGATTACGTTGAAAAATGTTAAAAAATTATCGAAAAAACTGTAACTTCTAATGATTCATATATATATTTATATATAAAATATAATATTTTAATCGAAGTCGACATGAAATTAATTTAACTATTTAAGATTTTTGTGAACTTTTTATTTTATTATTGAAGTACGCCATTTTTAAAAATAGGAGGAAGGAAGACTTTAAAACCAATATTTTCTTTTAAATTTAAAACGATTTAATTAGTAATTATATCAAAAGAAAAGATAAAAAAACAAAAAACACGAAAACTAATTGCCAACGTTTCTTGGTTGCTGCAACCGGAGGCAAACAGCCCTTACGTTTTGACATTTCCGAAACTACCCTCACAATAAAGCTGAAATAACATTCTTCCTGTGTTGACGACCGTACCCGCCATTGAAGATGGCCACAGGTCTTTGCTCTGCAGCTTACTGGTCGGAGTAATGATCTAGGATATCAGATCACGGGAAATGGTTGTTTTTCTCTCGAAACCAAACCCAAGTTGACAACAGTTCTCTTCAAAGGGAAACAGAATGAGATCTTCTTCGGAAAGAATCAACATCGCCGCCTGTACCCGCCGGCTCAACGTTGACAACCGATTTCCTCTTCGTTATTACTATCGAATCGCCGATAATATTTTGAAACAGGTAACTCTGCCCCTTGAGTTTCGTTTTTTTTTTTTTTTTTTTTTTTTTTTTTTTTTTAAATTTTGCACACCATCACAAATTTGGGATTGTTTTGACGTGCGTCTAATTTCGAAGGGCTTTTAATTGAATATCATTTTCTGTGCCGAATTTAGTTGAGAAATGGAACAAGGCTGTTTGAATTATTATATTTTTGGTAAAGTACTTTCTCAATAGCATACCGAAGTGCTTCGGAAGCAATTAATAGACTGGTCGTCAATGAATATAACAATGTTGTTCGGAGTCGATATGCTAAAAAACAATGATACATGTGGACAATTTCATGGCTCTGTTGAGCGCTGTGTAGTGTATTGGATGAGTCGCTAAGTAGCTTGAAGTATGGCGTGCAAAGTTTTGTAACTTTTGTTTTACAAGAAAGCATATTTGTTTTAAGTTAGAAATGGGTGCTTAGCTTGGGGAGCTGGTTTGCTTTTAAGTTGTATGCCGCTACGAATAGAGTATGGAATTCCTCGCCTGTTTGGTTACATATTCTTGTTCTTTTGTCCAAGTAATTCACTGCCTAACCCAATTTATACATTGCAGGCTGACATCTTTCGAGCAGAGAAGAACATAATTGATCTCTATGTCATGTTAATGAGATTTTCGAGGTAAAGAAAACAAAAAATTAATGTCATCGAGTTCTCATGAAATTATAATTTAGTCGTTAAGGGAACTCGTGTAACTGACATGTTGATATGTTTTAAAGAAGATTTACAGAATTGATTTAGCCAGTATGCTAGAGTTGGTTTGTAACTAGCTACTTTAGTTATTATTGTAGTCAGCTAGAAGTCTGCATGTACCTGTTGGTTTCTCTTCATTATTTGTCTTCCTCTTTTCTTTTGTTTTTTAAGGATATGTAGTTTGTGCTATACATAAAATTTTACGGAACCTAGCTTTCTTTAACTGCGCTTCCGATTAGATTATGTTAGGTGTTCCATTCAGTATCAAGAATAACTCTAAATTACGTTTGGTTTTTTTCATGCACCAGTTTGATCACTGAGACAATACCTCGTCATTGGGAGTATGGAAGAACTCTTAACTCCCAAAAAAATTATTTTAGAAAGGTAAATTCTGCCTTCCGTGTAAACTACAAGTACTGCATTTGTGTTGGTGCATTACATCAACTTAGTTTGTATATGCAGAGGCTATTGGATGCTTTGAGCGAGCTTGAAGAATTGAAGCCAGCAGTTCAAAGAAAGGTCGATGAAATAAATGGAAAGCAAAGATATCAAGTCAATGGGTGGGGTAATCAGCAACAAAATGGCTCATTGGGATGGCAGTCTGGTGGAAAGCAATATCTTACTGATAATGGTGCAGCTAAGGTATAGTCGTGTTGGTACCTAAATTTATATGTTCTTACAAGAATTGGACCATTGCCCTTTGTGGTAGCATATTGAAGCAATACTGCTATTTTATGTGCTGTCTTATCTCTCACAGGCTGGTAGATCAGCTGCTAGAGAAATTACTCGGCAGGGTTCAGGGCCTCAACAATTTTCATATTCCAGGTTCATGGATAAGAAATTCTGCAGTTTGTGCATGTTTAGATGTTTTCAATTTTGTCTTCTAATTCTTCTATTTAACATTGAATAAGCTTTACAATAATGTAGTATCTTTTTATTTACTATTCATTTTTTTATTCAGGCAAGTATTGCAGAAATATTTATGTTTTTTTTTAATGCTACACGAATCTTGTTAATGAGTATGGTTGATGTCAATACTATACAATCTTTGTTTTCCTCATCCCTCATATTTGTATACTTTTAGATCTATCCATATTCCACTCCCAAAGGAGGAAACATTATCCCGTCATTCTATTTTGGGTCCCAATGGACTTCATGGCCAGTGGCAACCACCAATCGTTGATAAAGGGGTAAGTTCATACTAGAGATTTTTTGAGGGAGTTTCCTCATGAACATACTGATTGGTCTTGTCAATGTAGGTCCAATATCCACGCATTTTGGATCTATCTCCTGTTGAAATTCCAAGGTTTGTCTTGTAATCATGTTTCTGAAAGGTCCAGCTTTTTGTTACCTGCAACTACATTAAATTGCTAAATGTGCTCAAGTCATTTCCTGTTAGGCCGATATGTACAATCAAGTTCTTACAGTTTCCAGTCTTGCCTCCATGCCTCTGGTTTCTAAAGATTTTATTATCATCATATTTTGTTTCATATGGAAAGGAATTTCCCTCTATTGATTTGTTACACTTTTTTCCTCCATGTTTGATATAAACAGCTTACAACAAGCCATAGAAACCAAACTTACAATAGGAAAAGATCTTGGAAACTTGGAAAAAGACAGATCTGATATAGACCCAATCTGCACCCAGAATGAAGATCGCAAGGTTCACAATACCATGGAAACAGATTCCTTAATCTCCTTTGAAAAAGTTGAAATGCCTGCCCCTATTGAAATTGTGCGACAGCCTTCTCCTCCACCTGTGCTTGCTGAAGTACAGGACCTAATACCTGCAATGTCACCTCAAGTTCCCGAGGTAGAATGCACACGTGATACTTCATTGTCAGATAAATTTGTTCATCCAGAAGCTTCTTTGCAATTGCACATTGTAAGTTACTAACCCTTGTTTGTTTTTTCATTTTATATGCCTATATTGTTCAGTTCTAACGGGAATAGGTGACAAATTATGAAAAGAGCCGTCCGTAACAATAGCAAGGCCTGTCTGTTATTTGTTAAATTGTGTGTATATGAAAGATACTTCATTCTTTGCTGAATATTTGGAAAATTTAGGGGCATTTTGTCTTTATGGAGGTTTAGATTGTGTTTCATCCTAGCAATTTCTCTTTTTGCAGTCAACTACGATGATGGAGAACTTCATGAGGCTAGCCAAGTCAAATACTGCCAAGAATTTAGAAACGTGTGGTGTTCTTGCCGGTTCACTTGTATGTTTTACTATTTCTATAACCTGCAAATATTTACAATTTTTATCATCACCGGCTGTTCATTTGCAACGCTAGATCAAAGTTTAACGAGTTATCCTCTTTTTGCAGAAAAACAGAACATTTTATGTCACTGCACTCATCGTTCCAAAGCAGGAATCAACATCAGATACTGTATGTCTATGTGAACTTTGTTTATTAGATACTGTTTCTTGCGCATCTTATTCATCTAATGATTATATAATATTAAAATATCAATCATCTGATCATCAGTGTCAGACAACAAATGAGGAAGAGATATTTGAAGTGCAGGATAAGCGCTCTCTGTTCCCACTTGGGTGGATTCATGTAAGAATTCTGGTTTCCTACAATAGTTGATTGTCTTATTATTCTACTTGGGATTGTTTTATTAGCATGTTTTTTAGGTCTGTTTTTGCAGTACTTTTCTGAACTCTTTGATAAATTAGAATTCATTTTCAAGTTCAAGTCTACAGACTTATTTCCTTTCAAGCATGACACATTCTTACAATAGACTGTAAACCATGATAATAAATGTTGTAAAAACAACATTTCTATTTATCATTCTTACCGGCTTCCAGAATTAAAATACGGTTGAGGGTGACGTATATCATATGGACATGCCAAAAGTTTGTGATGTAATATCTCTCATCTAAAAGGGGCTCTTCAGTTTTTCTATCAATATGTTGAGGATATTAGTAGCTTCCTCTAGGTATATGACGTTAGCCTGTCATGTGAGTTTTTTTTTTTGTAAGTTTGTGTACTAGTATACATTTCAAACACGTCAATTGCTACTATTAAATTATATCAAGGAGAGTAGTTTATGAGGGCCAGGCAGTTGTTTACATTTTTTTTAAAAAAACATTATTATTATTTTTTAATCATATTTAAGAAATAAAAAAGAAATACGGACAATAAATAGACAAGGGAGATAAGGTATCCTCCCATCTTAAAGCCAGAGATAAAGTTCAACCATTCGTCATAGAGATTTATGTTGTTTTAAATAAATTTTATTTAACTTTGCAAGAAATTCTCTACACCCCTGAAAACTTTTCTCTAATCAAAACTCCCAAAAAAGGCCTTGATTACAGTAACTCCATATAGACTTAGCTTTATCTTTGGTAGGATGACCAGTCAGTGAAGAGTAACAAAAATCTCTACCTGATGATAAAAAACCCACATGATATTAAACAGTTCAGGATTTCCACCAAAACCTGCTAGGAAATAGACCAGAAAATCGACAGATGATTTGGAAGTTTGAGATAGAAAACCAAGATTACTTTTGATCTTTCTCATCACCCCCTCGTAAGGCGATGATGCTTAATTCAGCTCAAAAGAGAGGCAGAAAGCCGACAAATGACAAATGTTTGAGTATATGCATAAATTGCGACTGAACTTCTATTCCTAAGTGAATAATTTTTTTCAGGTGAAAGAGTTTTGAGTTTCAAATTTAAATCGTGTTTAGTGAGGAATGTCCAGTTGACTGTTCATACATGACATGGATGATTGTTTGTTTCTAACATGTTTATTGATTTTCAGTGCTAGTGTAATTAATGCAGTTTTCAATTTTATATTAGCTCTATATGTGCGTGAATTATGAATGCTAAGTCTATTATATATCTTTTCATTATTCCTTTTGTGTTATTTCCAGACACATCCTACACAGTCATGCTTCATGTCGTCAGTTGATGTTCACACACATTACTCATATCAGGTAACTCATTTTCTTGCATAAGAAAAGTTAACGTGTTGGATGCAGAGGAGTACTTGATAAACGAACTCAACTTCCCTGTTGCATAAATTATCACTATAACAGTTTGTAGAATTCATTTTTCTTTGTCCTTTTACCCCCAATTTTCAGTTGATTTGTGGTCTATCTGATATCAATCTCCTTATTGCTAGGATAGTTTCAGGAAAATGCCTGCCTTTGCAATTTGGTAGCCAGATCCTTTTTCTTCTGAAAATTCTCTAACCTTAATTAATCCTTAACTGCTTAAAGTAGTTTTAATGAGAGATGAAAGACGTAGAAAGTCACGTTATTGCTCTTCCCTTTATACTTCTACTTTTCATTTTTGACTCCTTCGTGACTTGTGGGACGTTGGTTTTGCTTGCTTAGATGATCAATAGTAAACTGCAACGTTTTGGAGCTTACTTCTGCTGGCTTCGAAAAGCATATACATGTTTAAGGAATGACTATGAAATGCACTCCCTTGATTATGTTGGAGTATAAGTATACTTTCAATGATTAGGAAATGAATTTAATACCCATTCACTTTTAAAAACAAAGTTTAGTCCCTATTCCCTCCCGCCCCTGCTGTCTCAGTAAAATTTCTCCAGTAAGTTCCCGTGTCCATGGTCTGCTTGTCATAGGGTCTTGTCTGGGGGAACTTTCCTTCTGGCGATGGTGGTGGTGGGGGGTGGGAAGGGAAAAGGGTCGGGTGGATAATCGAGGTTGAATCAAGAGTTATTTTAGGGGAGAGAGGAAGGGCGGGTCATTGTGAAAAAGGAGAGAAGGAGAGAGACTTGGCATGGACGAAAAAAAAAAAAAAGTTGCATATGCAAAGTCACTACAAACTTGGGGAGTGAGGACACGTGTTGATTCTTGCTAGATCACATGAAATTATAAATTTTTCACAATCTTTTAATTCCTACGCTGTTGCTATTGAAGCTCATGTAGATCCTCAATCTCCAGGTAATGTTGCCTGAAGCTGTTGCAATTGTGATGGCTCCCAAGGATAGTGCAAGGTATGATCATAAATCAAAATCTTTACCTAGATAGGATTTCACTAATCATTATACGTTGGAACTGTCTTAACCTTTTCTTTCTAAGAGTCTCTGCCCTGACATGAACAGAAACCATGGCATTTTCCGGTTGACAACCCCTGGTGGCATGTCAATTATTCGGCAATGCCAACAACGTGGCTTTCACTCACATAATCAGCCTCCTGATGGCGGACCCATTTACAAAACCTGTACAGATGTATACATGGACCCCAATTTGAAATTTGATGTCATTGATCTTCGATGATCACAACATTTCAAACCGGTATTTTTGTTGCATTGAAGCAACATAATTGTTCAATTCGTACAGATCTGAAGTTCATCTAATAGAGGCAAGCTCCTTTAACTTTGTTCATACACATCTTCACCTCCGGAGGTAATATTGGTCAATCTTCTTTTAGCTTAAGCTTTTGTGTACCAAGTGATTGCGCAATAGTTAGGAAAGAGATTTCATCCAAAACAATACAGCACATCAGTTTTGAAACTGTTAACACATTTTGTTTTCTTCTCTCGTTCTGGTCTTCATGGTTATGTCCTCTGCATCATTGCTCTCTTAACCCATCCTCTTATTCTCTACAACATGACAGCAAGATGAGGATGGCAGTTGGCTGGTGGGTTACAGGGTTGCAGTTGAGGACTGTTTCATCCAACTTTTTTGCCCTTTTCCCCTCTTGGCCCCCCTCAACCAAGATTGCACAAATGGAAAGTTATATGGGGCTCGAATAAAAAGAAGGGAATTCAGTGATTATAAGGATATAATGGTTAAGAAATCCTTTTCGGTGATTTAATTGTAGAAATTCCAAAGTCATGTGAGCGAGGACAAAACATGTTAAAATGACATGTATTGGTCCGTAGGAATAATCTTTTCTCTTAGAAATAATTTAAAACAAATAGGTAACATGGTCATATTGCATGGAGTGCAAAGGAATGCTAGAGTTAGCCGGTATCGAATTTGAATTTCAAATCAATCCTAGACGAAGTATCACAATTGACCAATTGACCAAGTAAAGTATTAGAGACAACTTTGTTAGCTAAATCCAATACAACCTCTTACCTCAAAAGTCAACTCCAAATATATTATTAGCTTTAATCATATAAGGGGGGTTGACTTACTTCTGCCTCAAATAAAGTCCACAAAACAAAACAACAATCACTTTCAATATAAACCTAAGACGTTACATTAATACATCATTTTAGAGTTTATGTTAGTTGAACTATCTTTACCTAACACATACCATTCCTGCCTAAGAGCTAAAATGTGTATGTCGATTCGTCTTATGATCCATCTCTTCCTGAAAACCCAATTCTTAGATTTCCCTTGATTTTTACAGCATTTGTTCATCTGGGTTTGTGTTGTTTTTCCTTACCCTTTCTATTAATCTGTGTTTTGGGGTTCCATTTGTGCATCTGGTTTGTGAGTTCGAAGCTTCAAAGGTGTGCAAAACAACAAAAGTTCCCTGATATTCTTGACTGATTCGAGCAATTCTTGTCTCACTTACCACTTCCCTCTCTTCACTGACAAATTTCCAGATTCCATATGTTGCTTCATTTCCTCTGTAGAATTAGCACATTGAGGCGCTGAATCTCCGCTTTTTTTTGTACTCCATTTCCTTCTTCCTTCAACCCTCTCCAACACACATCCTATTATTTTATTTACCTCTTTCTTTTAACTTTCCTTCCTTCCTTCCTCACCCACATTCCCACTTCTCCTTTCTCTCAACCAAACCGTGGTGGTGGTGGTGGTGGAGGAGAGCTAACACCATGTGCTCCGAAACAACCTCGCCAAGGATATCCTTTTCCCACTATCTCCTCGGCGAGGGCGGCCTGCCTATCGACCACAGGCTGCCGGACATAACATTGCTGGATTCAAATCTGGACTTCAAGTTCAGCATCAGCATAGAACATGAATCTTCCACTGCAGATGAGCTGTTCGGCAATGGAATCATCCTTCCCATCAAAGCTGAATCCCATAAACAATCCCATCCTTTTGAGGTTCCTTTCACAGCCTCACTCCCTCCTCTCCCTCCCAAACAGAATTCAAACCACACACTCAAGAAAATCAGAGTGGTAAATGATTCATCTTCTTCACATCAGTTAGAACAGAGAGATGCAGAGTCCAAATCCTTTTGGGGATCCAAAAGAAGTAGCAGTATCAACTTTGAAGGTAAAAGAACATCTCTTTGCCCCCTCCCGCTTCTATCACGAAGCATTTCAACTGGGTCAGACTCAAATCCAAAGTCCAAAAAGCATAAAGATTCACAGAAGCAAATTTCTCAGAAGCAGTACTCAACATCGATGAGAAAGTCGTCATCACCGCCGCCGCCGCCGCCGCCGTCACTAAATCAATATCCAACAAATGTAAGGCCTCAGATGTGCAAGAATCCAGGAGGGGTTTATGGCAATTACCATTACATTGGGTCTGTGTTGAATGTGCCACCAAAGTTCTTCGGTTTTGGTTCACTTCTGCTATGTGGGATAGACAGAAAGAGTAAGAAATGATCTGTTCTTCATTTTCTATTTCATTTTCTTCTTCTTCTTCTTCTTCTTCTGAGTTCAATCTATGGGTGGCTTTTCCATGGTTTGTTGTCACTTTTAGTGCATTATTCCATGGTGAATTATGTGGAAATATAAATTAACATAAAAGAAATGAAAAAAAAAAAGACTCATTTTCTGCTTCAACTTTCTTCCTACAAAGATATTACTTAAATCAAAGAGTTAACTTTTATTTATATACATATATGACATCATAAATATTATCTTTATTAAGAATTTTTTTTTAGATAATACGAGAATTAAAAAATTATATGATGTCGGAGTAAATAAGGGATATATAAACGAATCGATACCATATTGAAAAGATTTAATAGTTATACTCGCGCATATTCTTTTTTTAATGATTTAATTGTGTTCGGCAAAACCTTTGTTCCGAGATTTTCTAGAATTTTTTCCAAAAAAATAGGTGAATAAAGATAAAAATGGTAAAGGTGGAGGATGTTAAAATGTAAAAATAAAATTAATTAATTTTCAGATATTAAATTTAAAGGGTTAGTGTACGAAATTCAAAGATGGCAGTGTTAATATTATTATAAGTGTTAGGAATAAATTTCAACATCGAATATCACGTAAACTGAACAAACACGTGAAATTATTTGTTGTGTATTTAAAAATTCATAATTTAATTATTTTATTAATTTCTATATATATACGTACAATTCAACAAATCAGAGTGGCGCAGCGGAAGCGTGGTGGGCCCATAACCCACAGGTCCCAGGATCGAAACCTGGCTCTGATAACCTCCTTTTTTTTTTTTTTTTTTTTTTTTTTT